TAATATATCCTAAAAGAAAATAACGTACCAGTCAAAGTTTAATATATGGCTTCATAGCAAAGAGCAATTACTCTAGTATGTATTTTGATATATCAGAAAAAATCCATATCACTTACGCCTTACTTGAACCTTACCACACTGTTGACCACTGCTGCCCCAACCTGGAATAGGCCGTCTATGGTCAGCTAGCCCTGGTGTAATGTCCACTCACACAGGTAAGACAGTGGTTGTCATAACGTGCCATACTTGCGTTGTGTCTGATAAGAACACTTAACGGCGGAGTTTGCGAATGGGTGTTGACATATAGCAGTTTATGTTCTTACTGACAAACAGAAAGTGTCGTAATTTATCTTCAAATGTTGAATTAGGTATTTCATGTACAATTACATGTTATCATTATGACGTGACAGAGAGGCTGTGTTTGAGGTAATCAATAATGATTCAAGCATTGTGTTGTCCGTCCGCCCTGCAGATGTTAGGAAATTTAAAAGTACATTTGATCTTTGTTTTAAGTGAGGTATTCAGGCCCAAACAATGTTTCCATCCTCGTTAAAAGAATCTAGAGCCATAATAGCTTTGGAATTCGGCATAATTCCGTATATTTTTAGCAAAAACGATATTTGAAATTCGTATCATAGCCCTGTTATGAAGACATAGAGAATCTCACCCAAGTGTCTACTGATATCAATTATATCAACACGAGTTGATAAAGTTGGAAATATCAGAGGCTTGCCGAAGATATTTTTACTTTTATCAACGAGTGTTGATATGATTGATATCAGAAGACACAAGGGTGAGATTCTATTATCATAAAAAATCACTCTTCATTAGGTGCTATTAGACTTGCAGTGCAGCGATGTTATAGCATTGTGACATGTTTTTGACTTCATGGCATTGTGAATCATGTAATTGATGACGTCAGGGCATTGTACAAAATATACTGTTAAAATCGTATCTCCTTGGAATAAAACGATCACACCCCGGCGCAGTGATGACTTAGCATAACATCACTGCCACAGGCTAATTTGCATATCATGTGACCGGACTTTTCCTTCAATCTCTATGCCAGAAATATCTAAGAAAACCCAAACATCGATTTTATGCAGCTTTTATTGACTTTAGAAAAGCCTTTGATTTTGTAAATAGAAATAAGCTTTTATATGTACTCCTCACCAAAGGTGTCCATGGTAAAATGTTCAAGTTGCTGAAAGATATGTATGACAAGGTATCAGCTTGTGTTAAAGTTGGAAATAAGAGATCTGAAATCTTTAACACATCATCTGGGGTAAAGCAAGGTTGCATGCTTAGCCCAGCTCTGTTTATACTTTTTATCAACGAGCTTGTGGATGAAATGAATAACTGTGGATTAAGAGGAATATTTGTCAAAGATGGTTTAAATGATATTCTATTACTGCTTTTTGCAGATGATGTTACCTTACTTGATGACACTGTTATTGGTTTACAAAGAAAACTTGATACATTGTATCGTTTTTGCTCAAAATGGGGTTTAGAAGTTAATCTTGACAAATCTTGTATAGTAGTATTTAGAAATGGTGGATATCTTAAGAAATCAGAAAAATGGTTCTATAATGGAAACCAAATGAATGTTGTATCACACTATAAATATCTAGGTGTTGTTTTTACCACAAAATTGATATGGTCGAGGACATGTGAAACACTAAGTCTTCAAGCCAAAAAAGCCTTGTTCCCTATATTTAAAATGTTTAAAGATCTTCCACATATATCTTTGAAAGTTGCTTCAGCAATATTTGATAGTAAGATATCCCCAATATTATTGTACGGTAGTGAAATCTGGGGGCATTCATGTCGTCCTCACATTGAGAAAACCCGATGTTTCTTTTTCAAACGCTGTCTGTGTGTTAATAAAAATGTTTCTTCCAATGCTGTACTTGGTGAAATTGGCAGGACCCAATTATGCGTTAAATATTACGGCAGATGTATCAAATATTGGTGCAGAATATTACATATGGACAATAATCGACATCCCAAATCATGTTATGAAATGTCAAAGTTGCAAGACGATAGTGGCAGCTGCAACTGGGTTACGCATGTGCGTCTACTTTTATTCCGAACTGGATTTTCTTACGTTTGGATTACACAGGAATGTGGGAATATAGAAACGTTTATAAGTGAATTTAGACAAAGATGTCAAGATATTGAAATTCAAAATTGGCACTCTAGGATAACATCATCTTTTCTAAAAGACTATGGAGCAATCAAGTCCGCCCTCGAACCTGAAAAATACATATTGGAACTTTGTCATAACAAGGACCTTATACGCATTTTATGCAAATTCCGCTGTTTAAGCCATACGTTAAATGTTCAACAACAACGTTAAAATAATAATATACATTTCAATGTATTGATATGTGACAAATAAGATTTTAATGTTACACAGGATGAATTTCATTTTTTACTTGTGTGTCCATTCTATTCTGCACAAAGAAAACTGTACTTACCTAGTTATTACCATACGTTCCCATCAAGATTAAAATTTAAACAACTTTTAACAACAACAAATGCACATCTATTGAAGTCAATAGCATTATTTCTAAAGCGTAACTTGCCTGTATGAAAATGAACTAATTACATTGTTTTTGTCTGTCCATCGGCACAATATTGTTCTTATATGTTTGTACTCTTGGCCACGTGGCCTCAAATACTGAATAAACTTCTTCTTCTTCTTCTTCTTCTTCTATTAGACTTGCAGTGCAGCGATGTTATAGCATTGTGACATGTTTTTGACTTCATGGCATTGTGAATCATGTAATTGATGACGTCAGGGCATTGTACAAAATATACTGTTAAAATCGTATCTCCTTGGAATAAAACGATCACACCCCGGCGCAGTGATGACTTAGCATAACATCACTGCCATAGGCTAATTTGCATATCATGTGACCGGACTTTTCTCTTTTTTGTAAACAAACGCGCATATATTTATAATAAGAAGAGAATAGTCTTACCAGAGACCATATAAGATGTTCTCTGGTCTTAAAGCAAGCTTTTCGACGCTCTCTTCACAATGTTTTACATTGTTACATGTACATTCCACAACAGTAAGGTTTATGACAGTACATATTTATACATCAAACTGGATGCATCGTTTGCTCTCGGCTTCGATGACACTCGTGGAGCCGTACAACCTATGTAAACAAAGGATCGCTACGCAAATCGAAATAGTGTTACACGTTTTAGGATATTTTCTCAGTGAAACTAAACCATTCTATCAAAGATGATTTATTAGATGTGTAGACTCGTCAATAGAATATTGATATTCATTTATTAACTTAAACGTGGTGAGGCCATTTATACTTTAAGGTAAATGAAGCTTTTTGTGTGCTTAATGGGCAATTTAAACGACATGTTAGAACATGCATTTAGGCAACTGATTCAATTTTCAAATTTTAGGTTGTTCCCATACTTTTTGTTTGTAGTATATGTACATTATATTGAATGGACGGTGCAAGATGTTACGAATCGTCACATCTTTCTGACCTGTGGCAGAGGTACTATGCTATCCGCATGGAACTCTGGGTCGGAGAGACTAAAACGATATCTCGCACGAATATAATATTTTGTTTATTACTGAAGTCGTCAAATTGAGGAAAATATACTCAAATCTACTTTCAAACATAGGCTGGCTACCCGCCGTCGCCACATGTAGAACGCAACGTCATAGAAGAAACGTGACGTCATAACATTGTTCATGAGGTCACGTCACCATGACAAAGTGATATTTTGCATCGTATGAAAAATATGAACCCTGATATGTTCGCCCTCGTAGGTAATAAAATAAGATCTCCTCAGATTCTGATGACTACCGTTTTCTTGATTGTCGGCTACATTCGCTCTCTTTGTCCTTATTTGTAGAAGCGATTCGATCATGAACGGGTAACCAGGCTAGGTTTTTGGGCCAAAATACAAGTGTGTGGATAATGGTGAGTATTGTACTGACTGCATCCGGTCATCAGGGCAGTTGCCTGTCGCCTACCATGGTGTATATGTGCCCATTACGTCGCATCAACGACACCAGATCAAAGCAGAGGAGTCGTTTCGTAATTGTGTTTCAGAGCTGCGAGAATGCACAAACGTGAAATGAAAACAATAAACAGACTCCGTAACTGTTCATTGTACAAAGACAAAACAACTGATAGTTTAAACATTTATTAACAATGAGCAATAACAAGCAAACTAAAACTTTCATCAGGGTGAACAACTGGCGTCATCGAACGTAACAGTAACCCATAGTAACTTGTCAGTTCTGATAGACATCTGACCCGATTTTAATACAAGGGGGATATTACGATCTACCGAGGTCAATATGACATCTTGAATACTTTAGGGTGATCATGACTCGGTCGCCCGAGTAGGCAACCCCGCTCGTGTAGAAGTTCGCATCACTGTGTGTGTGCTACCGTATCCATGTAGTTGTCAAAGGGGAGCGTTGGTACTCATTGGTACATGTCATTGGATACAGCAATTAGCAATTCTTGAAAAAGCTGCTGCTTTTCCTCTGATAGGTTCCTGCGACATTTTATGTCAGTTCATGTATCCTATAGTGTAACCATCCCGGTGTGTACTCCATTTCATGGCTTGCAGTCTACTCATGTCAGTAGTGGAACATAAAGTACACTTGTTTACTACTGAAATCACACAATTTACAATTAAAGGCAGCACCTAACTTTACCCAATATTCAGAGTACGAGAGTAGATAGTTATACTATAAAGACTTGGACTGAAACCTTTGTATTGCTGTACGTGATGTGGGATCCTCATAACAAATGGATGGAACACTATGTTATCCATGTTATTATTTTTGTAAAATTTGCTTCAGATTTGCTTAAAAAAGTAATGTAAGTCTTGAATTCAACACAATGGAAAAGTAACCGTTTAGTCGTTCAGTTTGGTCCTATAGTATTATAAGTATGAATATGCTATTACTATAGATACCCAAGTTAATGTTGGCAGTGGTATGGCTATGAAGGGCGTGGCGTGAGCGTCCACACCTGGGACCTGTGCCCAGAACAGGGTAGTACGGCGAGGGTCTTCTTGCCTGCCTGTAGACACAGTCCACTATTCGTTTCATGTAAATGTCCATCCTGCGGAAATAAGGCGAATCAGAAGTAAGTTTCAACTCTTTAGCTCTGTTTGTCAAAAGATACATTGCAATCATTTTATTATTTCAATCTGTGGCAGTAAGAATCTGTCATATGGTTAATAGACAAGTGTATTTTCCACAATTCCCATGTTGTGCTAGTTACATCTGAGCCAATGGGTGTGTCAAATGTCTACCTGAGTGTATGTCCAGCTTATTCCGTGCCGCAGGTTCAGGGAGACATTCCCGTCCTTGACGTACAGGTGTTGGTGGTAGTTCCAGATCTGGCCATTGCCCTGCATGCACCAAAACTGTAGGTTGAGAAAGACGCAGATGGTAACACGAAGCAGACAATTGGGGACTTGCAGAGATGTGAGTAGGAGTGTCTTTGTGCGTTTCTGTGGGTCTGTGGAGCTTGATCATCCCATCTGTTCTGTCGACTTTAGGTTTCTAGTTCCAGTTTAGTCTCTTTATACGACAAGCACGGGGTAACAACGAAGATGAGGATATGCACATGTGCTTGAATACAAAGCTACAAAGCTATAGCCAATGTCTTATCAAGGTGGACTGTTGGAAAATGTTATTTATCGTGTTGCAATTGTATTTAGTTAGTTTACTTGCAACCAGGGTATGTTTAGGGCTGCAGATGCCTCGCCGAACGGAAACTTCAGTAGTCTTACCTAGGTCAGGATAATTCTTGACTGAACAAGTGATTATCAACAAAGTTTTATAAACGTTTCCTAAGTGTAACCAGGTCATGATTATACTTTATTTCCGTATTTCTATCTATGACCCTACCTGGTTGTATCCCTCGCCTTGGCACGTGTACATGCTCGGCACCTTGGACTGTCGCCCCATCGAGTCTAAACAGTTATTGTAGGCAGCGTTCCGAATCTAGAAATATAAATAAACCTGCGATAACAGGACTTCTAACAGAAAGCTGAACACCAATCACAGTAGCATGAACGTACAGAGTTTGTCATGGTGCTTGATGTAAATACGTTCGTTGATGAAACAGTCATGACGCAAAGTAACTTTCAACGTTTCTTCGTTTGTTCGCTTGGATCATCAGAAAGCGAGCGCCTCCTTCCACTACATCGTCAAGATTTACCAACCCCTGTGTAGTCCCTCGGTCTACAGAATGGACTGAGACTTACACTGACTGTGAACATACAGGTGCCATACCTCTCCTACAGTCAGACAGTCTGTGGGCACTAGTAGCTCCGGGAGCACGTTCTTCAAGTACCATTCAAAGTCGTGGCAGTGTAGACTCCGACGTAGTTCTTGTCTTTCCGAGATATCTCCAACAACAACCTGGGGACGAATAATACATACAAAGTAGCGGTGGTGATTACATACAAGAAAACCCCGAGTACCTTGGACAGGTTCTACTCGACAGATATTTGCAGCCTACGTGGTACTGATGAATCCTACTTTGAATCCTACACGTCTGTCTGTGTCTTGTCTGCACATGTAACAGATGGGGTATATAACCGTCTTAGAAAACCACCTGGAACAGGAACAGGAAGTGTAAGATGTGATCTTGATGTTGTGATCCAGGGCCCACTTGCACAGAACAGTCTTAGTTACAATCAATGTTAGGCCCCTACAATCAACATTACAATCGCCATACAATTGTCCTAATCCACTTCCACAAGGCCGATCTTAGCGCGATTGTAAGACGACATGTATTTAAGATCGCGATCTTAGCTAAAATCGAACTCTTCCACAGTGGAAGTACGAATTTCTTAAACTTGACACCTGTCTACAGTTGTCTATAAGTTCACATGGCATGCTGTGCCAATGAAAATGTGGAAAAGGGCCCCGTTCCTCAAAGCGATCGTAGCGCTACGACTGTGGTAAGTCTATGTTAAAGTATGGGAGTTACGATCAACTTAGCGCTACGATCTCTTTGAGGAACGGGGCCCTGGTCACTGCACACAACACATACCTCCCTCAATCACACTTTGCGGAATTTCCATTAAAAACATTCCCACAAATCTTTAAGGAAACGATTACATGAAAGCAAGCCTAATTTTTTTCTACATTCAAATTGTCATGATTTATGAATTAAGAATGTATATCCACCTGATACTGAACTTAGTATATCCACCTGTCACCCACCTCAGTATATCCACCTGTCACCCACCTCAGTATATCCACCTGTCAACCACCTCAGTATATTCACCTATAATCCACCTCAGTGTATCCACCTGTCACCCATCTCAGTATATCAATTTGCCACCCACCTCAGTATATCCACCTGAGTATATCCACCTGTTACCGAACTCGGTATATCCACCTGCCACCCATTTAGTATATCCACCTGTCACTGACCTCAGTACATCCACCTGTCACTGACCGCAGTATATCCTTCTATCACCTACTTCAGTATATCCACATGTCACCCACCTCAGTATATCCACCTGTCACCCACCTCAGTAAATCCACCTGCCACCAACTTCAGTATATCCACCTGTCACCCACTTCAGTATATCCACCTGTCACCCACCTCAGTATATCCACCTGTCACCCACCTTTAGTATATCCACCTTTCACCCACCTCAGTATATCCCCCTGTTACCAACCTCAGTATATCCACCTTTCCCAAATCATCAGTATATCCACTTGTCACTGACCTCAGTATATCCACTTGTCACTGACCTCAGTACATCCACCTGTCACCCACCTCAGTATATGCACCTGTCATCCACCTCAGTATATCCACCTGTCACCCACCTCAGTATATCCACCTGGCACCCAACTCAGTATATCCACCTGTCACCGGCCTCAGTATATCCACCTGTCACTGACCTCAGTATATTCACCTGTCAATGACCTCAGTATATCCACCTATCCCTATCTCGGACATTCTCATTGAATTCTTATCTGTCACTAACCTTGTCAGATCCAGTAGTCTCGTAGAAGAACTTCTTATAGTCATCCATCCACACCTCGGCCACTCGTGCAGCGTTCCTCCTCACACTGCCAGGGATGGGCCAGTGGATCGGGTTGTTATGGCGGAAGATGTGACCTACATGTGAGCAGGGCAGCAGCTCCACGCTGCCGTTACACATCCACGCCTGTAACAAATAAACCCAGCTGCATGTGCTGTAGAGAACTGCCGTTACACATCCATACCTGTAACAAATACACCCAGCTGTGCTGTAGAGTACTGCCGTTACACATCCATACCTGTAACAAATAAACCCAGCTGTGCTGTAGAGTACTGCCGTTACACATCCACACCTATAACAAATAAACTCAGCTGTGCTGTAGAGAACTGCCGTTACACATCCACACCTGTAACAAATAAACCCAGCTGTGCTCTAGAGTACTGCCGTTACACATCCACACCTGTAACAAATAAACTCAGCTGTGCTCTAGAGCACTGCCGTTACACATCCACGCCTGTAACAAATAAACCTAGCTGTGCTGTAGCGAACTGCCGTTACACATCCATACCTGTAACAAATAAACCCAGCTGTGCTCTAGAGTACTGCCGTTGCACATCCACACCTGTAACAAATAAACCCGGATGTACTGTTACTGTAGAGTATTGCTGTTACACATCCACACAGAGGATACATGTCACAAAGTTAGCCGATAAAAGGTTCAAACCAAGCGTGCAACACATCTCTACCACCCAGTATTTGCCATCTGTGTGATCGTGTGTTCTTTGGTGATGTGAGATTGCTGTTACAGTATCAAGGAGGCGTAACATAAAGTGTCAGGTTAATGTTGGAGTTGGACCCTGTGGCTTTAACGAAACACCTATATGTGTTCAGGTCAGCGTTTACTACAACTGTCAGACATAACCGGTGGCTCCCCTTTCAGACATACCTTGAAGGACAGCTCGATGTTCTCTCCGCCCCAGTAGTCCAGTCCTGGGTCGTAGGCCCCCAGCAGTGTAAAATAGTCCCGGGATATCGCAAACAACCCACCAGGCATTGTGGCAGATCTGAAAATACACACGGACACACGGTTTGGTTTGAACCATCTGACTCATCTGTAATGAAGACACATGACACCATGTTAGCGACGTTGCCAACAGTGGCGATGTCCACCTACTTGATGGGTGCTGTCGGAGAACGGGACGGTTTGGTACGGAGTTCATGGATCCCAATCCATCTGAAGATGAGATTTGACCAGGAGAATGTCCCAACGCTGAGTGGAGCACGGGGCTTGACTGACAATGTGTCGGACTTGATAGACTCTATCGTTGGATAAGGAACGGCATAAGGGTTCTCAGCAATCCGATCCAGCAGGGGTTCAAGCCAACCTAGCAACAGGTACCTTACCATTCAGCATTGTCAAAAGATCTTTCCTTATGGTATTTTCCCATCGTATTTAAATACAGGTTACATAATGAAGTAAAGATGTATGGGTCCGTCAGCGTTGCATCTTGCCAAAAGGTATCCTTTTGTAATATTTAAAGGTTAACTATGATAATAAGATTACAATTTTAGTCCATTTTCAGATTTAATACAGTCATGTTTAAGTACAACAACAATGATACTGCCACAGTCCGATCCTACCTGGGAAACATTCGATGTGTGAGTCGAGGAAGACCAGGACGGGGGCGGTGGCGTGTTTGTAGCCCAACAACCTTGCTCTTATCAACCCCTCCCGCTGACCTGTCCGAAGTATCTTCACTATGCCCAGCGCTGACATGTACTTCTCCAGGGCTGCACCAAGATATTCTGGACAAAGATACACGATTAATGTGTGAACCTCCATCAAGCTGTCTTTGTCTGTGAGTAAGTGAGTTGTGTTTTACGCCGCTTCTAGCAATATTCCACCAATGTCACGGTTATTGATACCAGGAATGGGCGTCACATGTTGTCCTCATGAGAGGAATCTAACTCTGGCGTTCAGCTTGGCAAAGGGGCAACTTTTTACCCCTAGGCTACCCAACCACCCCAGTTGCTCGAAGTCACCATAGGTTTATACAATATGTTGCATCATGGAAAGCAATGGTAGCCCGTGGCAGACGATGTTACACGTATCAAAGAGTGGTAGTGGGGGATGAGGTTTCACGAACCCAGGTGTGAGTGAAATGGCACAATGTTTTCCACGTGCCTTGGTGTTATTAGAGATGGTAGACGAGGATGCACATGCCTCTGAGTATGAGTTGCAGTGATAATCACACGTACCTTGGTCCGAGGCGTCGTCAACGAGGATAATCTCCTGGAGTAGGTGTGGTGGTGAACGGTTGATGATACTGTGCACGGAGCGCAGCAGGGTAGACCACGCCTCGTTGTGGAAACACAAGATGACACTCGCCTTGTGCCTGCTCTGATGACTCAGTGACCGACACCTGGAACATCATACGCTATGGGATCACAATGAATGCAGCTTTTAAAATAAATTCTCTATTGTTGCTCCCTATACCAAGCTAAACATCTTGCTTTCCGGGGTTCCTGTCAACACAGCCCTAAACACTCACTGCGGTGGGCCTGGATCCGGAAGTCGACGGGTCACGGAAACGATGTCACTAACAAACTGGTTAAAGCTGTGTTTCTTGTAGCCTTCATCAAACATCTGCTTAGCTTCAGCTGAAAGGTGGTTTGGGAAGACGGTCACTGGGCGGCCATACTCACCTAAGAAAAGTGGTTTCCATTTGAGACAGCGCAAACATGACGAGATCAGTACATCAAGTTAGCTTTCATAGTCGACATATGTCATGTGTATAAGTAAAGGTAACTTGTCAACAGTCTAATAAAATCATACCTCTTCCATGAGGTGGAGTCTTGGCAACAAATGGTGGATACGTGATGTCATCTAGATCATTAGACCAGTTTCCAAAATTCTTTGAGCTCCATTCTTGGCCGCCCATGTGTTGGTCAAACACGTCATTGCTTGACGACCTCACTCTGTCCCCCATTCTCAGTCCAGGCCTCGGAGTTGGCCTTTTGTGGGTCCGTGGGGCAGGGGACGCCGTCAGGTACATGGTCCCGACAAACAGACCACACAGGAACATCAGCAGTCGCATCAGTCGACGTGGTCGGAGGAACTGCAGCAGCAGCATGTCACACTTCCGTATCTTCATCATGCAGCCACCGCATCAGCAAGCGTACTGTATAGGAATGAAGACATAGATGAACAAATTTGCTGTAAAATCACTGCTGAACCGTGATTAAAGCTACAGTATATCAACTTATGAAAGTACGATGTATTTGTTTGGAACTATGCTTCAGTTATCTTCGTTTGGTTTTACTGTATATTCCAGCAGGCGCCTTGAAACAATAGCCCCCTCACAGTTGGAGGATATTTGACATTGTGTTTTTTGCACCTTGAAATATTTGCTACATTTACTTACATTTGAAATAATTGGTTTATTTTCACTATTCACTCGTCTAACCCCTTACTTGCACGTTATCTTGCAGCACTGCTGCCCCAACCTGGAGTATACCGTCTATGGTCAGCTGGCCCGGTGTAATCTCCACTGACACAGGCACGCCACTGGTGGTCATAACATGGACTTAATATCTTACTAATTAGACTGCGGAGTGTATGTACTTGAGTTATGTCTGATAAGAACACTTAACGGCGGTGTTTGTGCATGTTACTTTAGTTTATAGCAGTTTATGTGTACATAGTCCATAACACTTACGCCTTACTTGAACCTTACCACACTGTTGACTACTGCTGCCCCAACCTAGAGTAGACCGTCTATGGTCAGCTGGCCCAGGTGTAATGTCCACTGACACAGGCACGCCACTGGTGGTCATAACGTGTACATACTAATGTAACTACAGAGAGTGTATAGAGACATAATGTCTGACATAAACTCTCAAATGGCAAGCACAACCAACATTTTAATACTTCAGGAGATACTTATTAAATTTGGAAAGAGGAAATAGCGTAATAGCGTAAAATCCGCCTCTGAAAGGATTTCCCCACAAAACGGCTTCCGGGTATTTGAGGGCTCTGTAGAATCAAACCGGCAGGCGCCAAGTCTGCATGGCGGTTCACCGAGGTCCTCTTGTGTTCAGTTTTGGGTGCAACTCAGATCTGACACTGGTCATCTATAAGTCAACACTTCATACAACCAAAAACCACAGAGCGGTTATTACAAACATGTTCACCTTTTTTGTATAACTTATGCGAGTTTGAGTGTGAATTGTGAAAATTTGAGAAGTGAAAGAAAAGCATTTTTAAGTTTCCTAAATTACTTTTTAAGTGTTACTGTGTTTGCTTGTTTGGGATGACTATTACGGAACACTTTTAACACTCTTTCTTGGATATTTATATATTTTCTACAAATGTTATAATTTTTTTCTCTCTTGGAAATTTACCAAAAGTATCTAGGAAAATTCATATTTGCAACAAATGCGCAATTATATTTTCAGTTTACTTGCCCTTCGTGTTTCTGTGTATTGAGTTAGTTATAAGGTTTGTATTGCTGCCGGCACCACAAACATTGAATTGGAGATTTCATAGATCATTAAATGTTGAATGTTGATGTAACAGAGAGACTGCGTTTGCAAACAGTAATGAAACATTGCCCATCTCCATTCTGTGAGTGCTCTCTGTGTGGACTCCGACTTGAACATCTCAACACTAACGCGCTATTCATCAATGAGATGTTGTGATATGGTCTCCTGTATTTGTACATCGTCCGCAAGTCGTGTTGGATTGGATTACAGCAATAGAGCTACTAATCGTGGAACAAGTGCAAATGTGGGAAAGACCGTGTTTATATTATGCACATATCAACATGCGGAAATCTCACCTGAAGTGCTGAGATAACGTCGGTCACGGGAGCTGCAGCTTTATGAGAATTAGCTCACCTGGGAGACGAGACTCAGGTGTGCCTGGTGACAGATGACCTGCAACACCTGTCCTCCACGTAGGTACTGAGGCATGTGCCGCACATACTGTAGTATTTACATTCATCAGTTTACACGTGTTACATGCAATCACGGTGTCGAATGTGTCACAATTAAACATCGTATCTCGTCAAGGTTATTATTTTCTGGAGCGAGGATTCGATTACGAATCGAGCAGGGACATTACTCGAGTAGTTACATCGTAAGTAGTCTATAAACTTCTACTGAAAGATCCAGGCATGAACATACTTTTGAAATGATGCTGAAAACCATTAAAAATTGTGCGTCATATTCAAATTATTTAATAGTTATATAAGAGCAAGAATTTAAAACCCGACGTCAAACCTTATTTCACCTCACCTCTAAATTTTGTGATAGCATATCATTTGTCATAAAGTCAGTTAAATATAATACACGGAGTGAGACTGGGCCTTAGTAAATGCAGCTGTACCCCGATCAACCAGTATATGGTGTATAAAGACTGAGCCTGATCTCGTGGACCCCTGCTGCGGCCTCAGAGATCCATTCACATACTTATTCTCATCTGTTGCATCTCTTGGTGATATCAGCGGTTGCAGAGTGCCAACACCAAACCTTCAGCGTACCGTAGCGAGGATGATGAGAGAGTTAACGAAAAAAAAAGTATTTTTGAAGAACCACCAGATAAATATAAACTTATATTACCGGAATATATTTCCCCGAAAGACCCTTTGTCTCTGAGGTTCAACATGTCCCACTCTGAGACACAACAGTTCCTGTAGCCCCTTTACTGAAGACGGAAACCTCCCATCTATCTTACTGCAAACAAATATATCTTCGCCTATGTAAACCGAAGAACTTACTTATCAAGGAATCAATTAACTATTTTGTAAACAGGTACATGTCAGTACATCTTCTCTATCCATTCTGTTTGACCTTCATATGTCTTTATCCAGTCCGTTTGACGTGTGTGGCACATGTCAGTATATCTTCTTTATCCAATCCGTGTGACGTGCGTGGTGTACGTCAGTATATCTTCTTTATCCAATCCGTGTGACGTGCGTAGTGTATGTCAGTATATCATCTTTATCCAGTCCGTTTGACGTGTGTGGTGCATGTCAGTATATCGTCTATATCCAGTCCGTTTGACGAGTGAGGTTCATGTCAGTATATCCTCTTTATCCAGTCCGTTTGACGTGTCAGTATATCTTCTTTATCCAGTCCGTGTGACGTGTGTGGTGCATGTCAGTATATCGTCTTTATCCAGTCCGTTTGACGTGCGTGGTGTATGTCAGTATATCGTCTTTATCCAGTCCGTTTGACGTGTGTGGTGTATGTCAGTATATCGTCTATATCCAGTCCGTTTGACGTGTGTGGCACATGTCAGTATATCGTCTTTATCCAATCCGTTTGACGTGTGTGGTGCATGTCAGTATATCGTCTGTATCCAGTCCGTGTGACGTGTGTGGTGCATGACATAATATCGTCTTTTCCAGTCCGTTTGACGTGCGTGGTGTATGTCAGTATATCGTCTTTATCCAGTCCGTTTGACGTGTGTGGCACATGTCAGTATATCATCTTTATCCAGTCCGTTTGACGTGTGTGGTGCATGTCAGTATATCGTCTATATCCAGTCCGTTTGACGAGTGAGGTTCATGTCAGTATATCCTCTTTATCCAGTCCGTTTGACGTGTCAGTATATCGTCTTTATCCAATCCGTTTGACGTGTGTGGTGCATGTCAGTATATCGTCTGTTTCCAGTCCGTGTGTGTGTGGTGCATGTCAGAATATCGTCTTTATCCAGTCCGTTTGACGTGTGGTGTATGTCAGTATATCGTCTTTATCCAGTCCGTTTGACGTGTGTGGTGCATGTCAATATATTGTCTTTATCCAGTCCGTTTGACGTGTGTGTGGTGTATGTCAGTATATCGTCTTTATCCAGTCCGTTTGACGTGTGAGGTTCATGTCAGTATATCTTCTTTATCCAGTCCGTTTCGTGTCAGTATATCTTCTTTATCCAGTCCGTTTGACCTGTGAAGTGCATGTCAGTACATCTTCTTTATCCAGTCCGTTTGACGCGTGATGTTCATGTCAGTATATCTTCTTTATCCAAGCCGTTTCACGTGTCAGTATATCTTCTTTATCCAGTCCGTTTGACGTGTGATGTTCATGTCAGCATATCTTCTTTATCCAGTCCGTTTGACGTGTCAGTATATCTTCTTTATCCAGTCCAGTATATCTTCTTTATCCAGTCCGTTTGACGTGTCAGTATATCGTCTTTATCCAGTCCGTTTGACGCGTGAGGTTCATGTCAGCATATCTTCTTTATCCAGTCCGTTTGACGCGTGATGTTCATGTCAGCATATCTTCTTTATCCAGTCCGTTTGACGTGTCAGTATATCTTCTTTATCCAGTCCGTTTGACGTGTGATGTTCATGTCAGCATATCTTCTTTATCCAGTCCGTTTGACGTGTCAGTATATCTTCTTGATCCAGTCCAGTATATTTTCTTTATCCAGTCCGTTTGACGTGTCAGTATATCTTCTTAATCCAGTCCGTTTGACGCGTGAGGTTCATGTCAGCATATCTTCTTTATCCAGTCCGTTTGACGTGTCAGTACATCTTCTTTATCCAGTCCGTTTGACGTGTCAGCATATCTTCTTTATCCAGTCCGTTTGACGTGTCAGTACATCTTCTTTATCCAGTCCGTTTGACGTGTCAGTATATCTTCTTTATCCAGTCCAGTATATCTTCTTTATCCAGTCCGTTTGACGTGTCAGAATATCGTCTTTATCCAGTCCGTTTGACGCGTGAGGTTCATGTCAGCATATCTTCTTTATCCAGTCCGTTTGACGCGTGATGTTCATGTCAGCATATCTTCTTTATCCAGTCCGTTTGACATGTCAGTATATATTCTTTATCCAGTCCGTTTGACGTGTGAAGTGCATGTCAGTATATCTTCTTTAACCAGTCCGGTTGACGTGTCAGTATATCTTCTTTATCCAATCCGTGTGACGTGCGTAGTGTATGTCAGTATATCATCTTTATCCAGTCCGTTTGACGTGTGTGGTGCATGTCAGTATATCGTCTATATCCAGTCCGTTTGACGAGTGAGGTTCATGTCAGTATATCCTCTTTATCCAGTCCGTTTGACGTGTCAGTATATCTTCTTTATCCAGTCCGTGTGACGTGTGTGGTGCATGTCAGTATATCGTCTTTATCCAGTTTGTTTGACGTGCGTGGTGTATGTCAGTATATCGTCTTTATCCAGTCCGTTTGACGTGCGTGGTGTATGTCAGTATATCGTCTATATCCAGTCCGTTTGACGTGTGTGGCACATGTCAGTATATCGTCTTTATCCAATCCGTTTGACGTGTGGTGCATGTCAGTATATCGTCTGTATCCAGTCCGTGTGACGTGTGTGGTGCATGTCATAATATCGTCTTTATCCAGTCCGTTTGACGTGCGTGGTGTATGTCAGTATATCGTCTTTATCCAGTCCGTTTGACGTGTGTGGCACATGTCAGTATATCATCTTTATCCAGTCCGTTTGACGTGTGTGGTGCATGTCAGTATATCGTCTATATCCAGTCCGTTTGACGAGTGAGAGGTAATGTCAGTATATCCTCTTTATCCAGTCCGTTTGACGTGTCAGTATATCGTCTTTATCCAATCCGTTTGACGTGTGTGGTGCATGTCAGTATATCGTCTGTTTCCAGTCCGTGTGACGTGTGTGGTGCATGTCAGAATATCGTCTTTATCCAGTCCGTTTGACGTGTGTGGTGTATGTCAGTATATCGTCTTTATCCAGTCCGTTTGACGTGTGTGGTGCATGTCAATATATTGTCTTTATCCAGTCCGTTTGACGTGTGTGGTGTATGTCAGTATATCGTCTTTATCCAGTCCGTTTGACGTGTGAGGTTCATGTCAGTATATCTTCTTTATCCAGTCCGTTTCACGTGTCAGTATATCTTCTTTATCCAGTCCGTTTGACCTGTGAAGTGCATGTCAGTACATCTTCTTTATCCAGTCCGTTTGACGCATGATGTTCATGTCAGTATATCTTCTTTATCCAAGCCGTTTGACGTGTCAGTATATCTTCTTTATCCAGTCCGTTTGACGTGTGATGTTCATGTCAGCATATCTTCTTTATCCAGTCCGTTTGACGTGTCAGTATATCTTCTTTATCCAGTCCAGTATATCTTCTTTATCCAGTCCGTTTGACGTGTCAGTATATCGTCTTTATCCAGTCCGTTTGACGCGTGAGGTTCATGTCAGCATATCTTCTTTATCCAGTCCGTTTGACGCGTGATGTTCATGTCAGCATATCTTCTTTATCCAGTCCGTTTGACGTGTCAGTATATCTTCTTTATCCAGTCCGTTTGACGTGTGATGTTCATGTCAGCATATCTTCTTTATCCAGTCCGTTTGACGTGTCAGTATATCTTCTTGATCCAGTCCAGTATATTTTCTTTATCCAGTCCGTTTGACGTGTCAGTATATCTTCTTTATCCAGTCCGTTTGACGCGTGAGGTTCATGTCAGCATATCTTCTTTATCCAGTCCGTTTGACGTGTCAGTACATCTTCTTTATCCAGTCCGTTTGACGTGTCAGCATATCTTCTTTATCCAGTCCGTTTGACGTGTCAGTACATCTTCTTTATCCAGTCCGTTTGACGTGTCAGTATATCTTCTTTATCCAGTCCAGTATATCTTCTTTATCCAGTCCGTTTGACGTGTCAGTATATCGTCTTTATCCAGTCCGTTTGACGCGTGAGGTTCATGTCAGCATATCTTCTTTATCCAGTCCGTTTGACGCGTGATGTTCATGTCAGCATATCTTCTTTATCCAGTCCGTTTGACATGTCAGTATATATTCTTTATCCAGTCCGTTTGACGTGTGAAGTGCATGTCAGTATATCTTCTTTAACCAGTCCGGTTGACGTGTCAGTATATCTTCTTTATCCAGTCCGTTTGACGTGTCAGTATATCTTCTTTATCCAGTCCGCTTGACGTGTGTAGTGCATGCCAGTATATCTTGTTTATCCAGAAATGTATAATATGATGTCATTATGTTGGGTTTGATAAGAACAGTCGTTTGCTTCCACAGCATACAGACGCTTCTTCAACAGGAATAGCCAGACACCCACCATGCCAAGGGTACAAGGTTATATAGAGACACTTGTAGGCTGTGAACTTCTCTCTCGGGTAACACGGTCTGATGTACGCCTTTTTGTAGCAGTGTCACAAGAGCCTGTAGGCGAATCTGATGTCCGCCTGACACTGCTACAAAAAGGCGTACATCAGACCGTATATCCGAGGGAGGAGATTACAACGTATCCGTCCGTGTGACCTGATGGATCCGTCCATACACTGTGTGACCTGGTGGATCCGTCCATACACTGTGTGACCTAGTGGATCCGTCTATACACTGTGTGGCCTGGTGGATCCGTCCATACACTGTGTGACCTGGTGGATCCGTCCATACACTGTGTGACCTGGTGGATCCGTCCATACACTGTGTGACCTAGTGGATCCGTCTATACACTGTGTGACCTGGTGGATCCGTCTATACACTGTGTGACCTAGTGGATCCGTCTATACACTGTGTGACCTGGTGGATCCGTCCATACACTGTGTGACCTGGTGGATCCGTCCATACACTGTGTGACCTGGTGGATCCGTCCATACATTGTGTGACCTGGTGGATCCGTCTATACACTGTTTGACCTGGCGGATCCGTCTATACACTGTGTGACCGGACGGATCCGTTCATACATTGTGTGACCTGGCAGATCCGCTCATACACTGTGTGACCTGACGGATCCGCTCATACACTGTGTGACCTGACGGATCCGTCTATACACTGTGTGACCGGACGGATCCGTTCATACATTGTGTGACCTGACGGATCCGTTCATACACTGTGTGACCTGACGGATCCGCTCATACACTGTGTGACCTGACGGATCCGCTCATACACTGTGTGACCTGACGGATCTGTCCATGCACTGTGTGACCTGACGGATCCGTTCATACATTGTGTGACCTGACGGATTCGTTCATACATTGTGTGACCTGACGGATCCGCTCATACACTGTGGGACCTGACGGATTCGTTCATACACTGTGTGACCTGACGGATCCGCTCATACACTGTGTGACCTGACGGATCCGTCCATACACTGTGTGACCTGACGGATCCGTTCATACATTGTGAGACCTGACGAATCCGTTCATACATTGCGTGACCTGGCGGATCCGCTCATACACTGTGTGACCTGACGGATCCGTCCATACACTGTGTGACCTGACGGATCTGTCCATGCACTGTGTGACCTGACGGATCCGTTCATACATTGTGTGACCTGACGGATTCGTTCATACATTGTGTGACCTGACGGATCCGCTCATACACTGTGTGACCTGACGGATTCGTTCATACACTGTGTGACCTGACGGATCCGCTCATACACTGTGTGACCTGACGGATCCGTCCATACACTGTGTGACCTGACGGATCCGTTCATACATTGTGAGACCTGACGGATCCGTTCATACATTGCGTGACCTGGCGGATCCGCTCATACACTGTGTGACCTGACGGATCCGTCCATACTTTGTGTGACCTGGTGGATCCGTCCATACATTGTGTGACCGGACGGATCCGTCCATACATTGTGTGACCTGGTGGATCCGTTCATACATTGTGAGACCTGACGAATCCGTTCATACATTGCGTGACCTGGCGGATCCGCTCATACACTGTGTGACCTGACGGATCCGTCCATACACTGTGACCTGACGGATCTGTCCATGCACTGTGTGACCTGACGGATCCGTTCATACATTGTGTGACCTGACGGATTCGTTCATACATTGTGTGACCTCATACACTGTGTGACCTGACGGATTCGTTCATACACTGTGTGACCTGACGGATCCTGCTCATACACTGTGACCTGACGGATCCGTTCATACATTGTGAGACCTGACGGATCCGTTCATACATTGCTTGACCTGGCGGATCCGCTCATACACTGTGTGACCTGACGGATCCGTCCATACTTTGTGTGACCTGGTGGATCCGTCCATACATTGTGTGACCGGACGGATCCGTCCATACATTGTGTGACCTGGTGGATCCGTTCATACATTGTGTGACCTGGTGGATCCGCTCATACACTGTGTGACCTGGCGGATCCGTCCATACATTGTGTGACCTGGTGGATCCGCTCATACACTGTGTGACCTGGTGGATCCGTCCATACATTGTGTGACCTGGTGGATCCGCTCATACACTGTGTGACCTGGCGGATCCGTCCATACACTGTGTGACCTGACGGATCAGTATTTATCTTTCAACAGTATATGGGTAAATGTACACAGATATGGAATGTTTGTCTATGCACATGATATCTTTATACAACATTCAGGTGAGTATTGTCCTGCAGACGTTCATCACATCAGTAAAGATAGAGACGTAGAAGGAAGCATGACCATTCTGTAATCTTCAAGAAATTGGCGTAACACAGACACATTCACCAGAATCACTGGCCCACCTACAGATGTCGGTAAATAGATTACACAATCACGTCATTTATCATTCTTTGGTTGTTGTTTTTTATCACTAATCATTAATTTTGCTGATACGTCAAGAAAAATGATACTTACTGCATTACAGGTATGACGACTGTTGCAGCACTACTATCACATACACTTCACACACACAAACTTGTTTAATACGTACATTAGAAGTAATATTTTCATAAACATCCTCCCCTCTAACATTGACGTCACAGTGAACCCACTCCAAACACACGGGCTCGATTTCTCTTGCAGCTCTGATAGTAGCCCCAACAGTCACTGCGGTCGGTTTTTGTCATTTCCTCATGTTTACGTGAACACTTTCAATGAACTATACTGTCTCTACAGATTGCTGGACTCCTGATGTTTAGTATCCTCTAAGTGTGGAGAGGCATCCTGTGTATCTGAAATCTGTCCTGTTCTGGTGTCTTCTCTCTCCAGATTCCCATCTTGTTGTGGCTCCCCCTTGCAGGAAGTGTGATCTAGACTTGGCTCCATCCCATGTGTTTGGTCGAGACACGGCTCCTTCGTCTGCGTTAGTAAACTTGGCTCATTCCTCTCTTGGGTTTGATCTAGACGTGGGTCCTCTAACTTATGCGATTGGTCAAGGTTTAGCTTGACTTCTACAGATTGATCTAGAACTGATTCCTCCATATCTGGGGTTCGGTCTTGTTGTGACAGCTCCCTACCATTGCCTTGATAAAAACTAGGTTCACCTCTATCTTCATTTTGTTGAAGAGGTAACAGTTCGGCGTCAATAAGATGGCGGCGATCTGATTCTGGCCCGTTTTCCGACGCATGCACAATCTTGATGTGGTTTGAGTGCTGCTGGTTGTGTTCCTCGTCTGGCTGGCAAAGAGCTTCGTCCTCCTGGGGTATGTCCACGCTGGTGTGGTAAATGTCTGCCTTGGAGGAGGTCTCGGCAACACGCGAAGCCTGGCCATACAAAGTATACATTGCCGGGTTATTACACAAACATTGGCATGGACATTACATGTTGTGACAAAGCTGTTCGAGGTGACAACTCACTCTGTTCGAAGAAAAAAAGTATATGAACCTGTATCTGTATAACCAAGCTCTGATAACGATGTATACTATTACCTACACTGCTGTATTATGTAAACATCCATTATTCCCATATTAAGATGATGTTCACAGCAGCTCCTGCTCCATTAAAATATTGTTTCACTATCCTATCGTAAAACCAGCTTATCATCTCACCACAACATCAAAAACTACAATTCATATAAAGTATGTATTTAGTATTGCACGAGTACCTGAGTAGTCCACTCCACATCGGAAGAATGTATTTAGTAATGCACGACACAATCAGGGAACTTACAGCTGTGTAGTCCACTCCACATCGGAAGAAGTGTTTGACGGGTTCCGGGAGACAGCAGAATAACTGATCCACGACGGAGACTAAGTATCGAGTGTCTGCCTTCGTGGTCGTCCGGCAACCTGCAACAATGTCGCCCCTGTACCTTCACCTGTACACTCTCTGTCACTTGCGCAACCATATCCTACTTTTATATCTACAAAATGTGTTCCAGAAAGCATACGAGTGGTGTCGGAAAGGTTCTGAGCCTATCGATGAGCTAGCTGTTCAAGCGCTGTTGAAGGGGGAAACGACTGGCTCTCAAAGACCCCCAACTGACACAACAACAGAAAATGTTAAAAGAAGAATAATTCCATTTTAGATGATCGAATACTGTGCGCATGTCAGACAGCCAACATCACAGACTTCTCACTACAGAGTTGAGAACATTCTGAGAAGAACAACTGTGCATGACGATGGTTCCAGCCCGGTGGATTCCAAGATTGGTGACTCCAAGTTCATCGTCTCTAGTGAGAATATAAATCGTCCTAAAGCAAACCAACTCTTGATTGTCCCGTGATAAGTAAGCATGGAGCGGTAGGCTGAGTATCTTACAGCTCTTCTGAAGAATGTAAGAATGTTTGTTTCATCAGTCAGGAAGATCGCTTCGGTTTTCGAACTAATAGCCTGTATTACGTTAATCTGCATTGTCAGCTGCATGAAAATATGCAGGCTAGTTTAAAGTGAACCAAATGCGTGTTGTTCCAACAGAACAATGCACCAGTCTATTACAGCCATGGCTGCAATGCATTGCGTGGTTTTGAACTCTATGAACATCGCCCGTTGTCACTAGATTTGCACTGTCAGAATTCCAAACACGTCAGGTAAATCTGGTTGGCAAGCAGTACGCAAACGATGATGTCGTCATTTCTGTTGCTGAGGACTTTACACACCACCAGGAAGTACCCTCTACACTAAAGGGGCCGTGCACTCCAACATCTTGGCACAAGTGTAGGAGCTTCAGAGGGGATTATCAACGCGGGTCATCATAGTTTGGCTCAGAACTTTTCAGTCACCCAACAGGGTGTTCTGTTTTGATATTATACAATGCGACAAAACTAAGGGATAGACGGAAAGAACTTAAAATTTCCAAAAGTGTAGTAGATTTTTGTTTCTAATAATAATTGCTTGATAATAACGAACACATTGGATACACTGCAACCGATAGTGAAGTAAAACGATTGTAAAGGACGATAGGGGTATGTTTTTGGATACGACTTGACATGTGTGTTGTCAAAACTTAGACTTGTTCTAATGCTTGTATAAACATATATTTCGTGATCGACTACTTTTTTGAAGAGCATGTAACACAATGAGTGTATTCAAGAACATTGCTCACTGTTCGTGAGGTACTTGTCATCTTACTTGCACTCACCATTAACCATGTAGCTGACGATAGCCCCAACTGCTACAACAAAAAATATACCAAGTGCCCCGAACCACATATAGGACAGAGAGTACAGCTTGTCAAGACCCTGTCTGTAACAGAAAGATGTCACTCCATGGCATAAGTATGTGTATATAACATAAAGATATACCTGTCTAACATAAATAGGTGCATAGAGCATAAAAATATATCAGTCTAGCATAAATAGGTGTATAGAGCATAAAGATATATCTGTCTAGCATAAATAGGTGCATAGAGCATAAAGATATATCAGTCTAGCATAAATAGGTGTATAGAGCATAAAGATATATCGTTCTAACATAAATAGGTGCATAGAGCATAAAGATATATCAGTCTAGCATAAATAAGTGTATAGAGCATAAAGATATATCTGTCTAACATAAATATATTTATTCTATAACAAATATAGCTGTTTATGGAATGTGTTAGAATTTCTGCTTATCATAGAGGTATCTGTACATTCTGGATCGATATCTTAATAAACGCACGGTGTGTAGGCTTCTGTCGTCACACTGATGTCTGGGATGGTGTAGTTAAAGTCGCTGATGAAAGTGACGTTGTCGACTGGGCACCTGTCTGTAGGCCCAAGAGGAAGCCAGGGCGTCTTCCGCTTGGTAGTTGACATGTAGGACCCGATGGAGATCCAGAATATAAACACAGCTCCTGTAACTGTGGCCACGAACGCCCCCTAGTAACACAGCCCACATGTCAGTGATGAATATACCATATAGTCAATATCTTCCTGTAAAAGAAACATAAACAACAAAAGGGTATTCTTTCTCACATGCTTTTACAATTTAGGTTATAACATTGTTTTTAAATATAGGTTATTACATTGCTCCACCCGTCATTCAGCTAAACCATGTGTTGCAATAATGCATGAACTCACTCACCTGACCATTCACTTAACTCACTCACCTGGCCATTCACTTAACTCACATACCTGGCCATTCACTTAACTCACTTACCTGGCAATTCAATTAACTCACTCACCTGGCCATTCACTTAACTCACTTACCTGGCCATTCACTTAACTCACTTACCTGGCAATTCACTTATCTCACTCACCTGGCCATTCACTTAACTCACTAACCTGGTCATTTACTTAACTCACTTACCTGACCATTCACGTAACCCACTATCCTGGCCATTCACTTAACTCACTCATCTGGCCATTCACTAAACTCACTCACCTGGCCATTCACTTAACTCACTCACCTGGCCATTCACTTAACTCACTAACCTGGTCATTTACTTAACTCACTTACCTGACCATTCACGTAACCCACTATCCTGGCCATTCACTTAACTCACTCATCTGGCCATTCACTAAACTCACTCACCTGGCCTTTCACTTAACTCACTTACCTGGTCATTCACTTAACTGGCTTACTGGACATTCACTTAACTCACTCACCTGGTCATTCACTTAACTCACTCACCTGGCCATTCACTTAACTCACTAACCTGGTCATTTACTTAACTCACTTACCTGACCATTCACGTAACCCACTATCCTGGCCATTCACTTAACTCACTCATCTGGCCATTCACTAAACTCACTCACCTGGCCATTCACTTAACTCACTCACCTGGCCATTCACTTAACTCACTAACCTGGTCATTTACTTAACTCACTTACCTGACCATTCACGTAACCCACTATCCTGGCCATTCACTTAACTCACTCATCTGGCCATTCACTAAACTCACTCACCTGGCCTTTCACTTAACTCACTCACCTGGCCATTCACTTAACTGGCTTACTGGACATTCACTTAACTCACCTGACCATTCACTTAACTCACTCACCTGACCATTCACTTAAACTCACAAAACCTGACCATTCACTTAACTGGCTTGCTGGATATTCACTTATCGGGCTTACTGGACATTCACTTAACTGGCTTACTGGACATTTGCTCACCTGTTATATGCTTATCTGGCTTACCTGGCCATTCATTTAACTCGCTTACCTGGACATTCGCCCACGGTATCATGGCTCCCAGGAGAAAAAGGCCGGTGGCGGGGCCGGAAAAGGCAGCCAGGAGGCTGAATGAGATCTTGAAATACAAAACAGTAGCGATGTGATATACTTCTATTGCTAATCAATAAATTCTCTGTTTCTTGTTATGTACCCTGACTATTCTTTGAACGGCTTGATAAGTACAGTGATTTTCCATAATGAACTTATCTTTCACAATGACATATATCTATCCGGATAAATGGGTATCAGTTGAAATACTAAACATTTACCTGAGACAACGTCCCGCCGACCTTGGCGATGAGCATCGAGATGGCGACAGACACACCTCCACATGCCACAACTGCAGGACGGGCGCAACACAGTTGATTACAATATATTCCTTATAACCTCACAGTCTTTTAAAATATGTATCCTACCTGCACGGTCACAGAAATAGCACATCATAATGTTATAAGCAATTATTCAAAGATGAAATGGGGAATGAAAGTGTTTGTAGTCATCAAGAAAAAGTCTATCCTCATTGAAACCAATGCTAGAATGATTGCATGAATATAGTTTTATGTCTGTTTTAACAATAATCCCACAATATCCGAACGTTAGGCATCAGTGGTGAATCGAACTCAAGCCTTTGGTGTAACGGGTGAACACGTTCCCCACTAGGTGTTCACTTCGCCATAAGCATAGAACATTGAAAGTGAATTGATTAGGACGTTACATTGACAGGAAATATACTCACTCACTCACTCACTCACTCACTCACCCGTCAACATTTACCACTTATGATTGTAGCTCTGGTCTGTTTTGGAGGACACAGAAGATATCTTTCAGTGGCGGAAAATAACAGTTTCTAGTGTGAGCAATGAAGACTGGTCTTATCCTGCTGACATATATATTGATGGTTTCATACGTTCAGTACAGACAAATTGCGTGATTTCTATCACTGACTATTTCTGTTTGCCAATGTCTTGTAGTGCATATTTTGTGACTCAGTTTAAGATAGTTCTTCTTCCACTTTTCATGCTTATATAGTCGGCACATCCGTTCACCACTATTCTACTTCTGCCAGTTCCAGCACCACTCACAAGAGGATAGTGAGAGGGGATAGTGTTGACTCCACACTACATGGATAACTACAATATACACACTATAACGCGGAAGGCTCTGCTCCTACCTGAACACTTGGCTATGATCGTGGCCTTAACCTCGGTGGGATTCTTCACATACGGCTTGATGTAGTCCTCCCAGGTCTGTGCTGACAGGGCACTGAGGCCCGAGGACAGTGTGCTGTAACACAGGGACGTTAACTCTTATGTGTGTGCGTGCGCGCGCGTGCGTATGTGCGTGTGTGAGTGTGCGTGTGTGTGTGTGTGTGCGTGCGTGTGTGCGCGTGTGTGCTAGTGTGTGGGGTCCAACATTTAAGATGAAAAGTAAGACATGACTTTTTCTATTTCATCTACCATATTCACTCCTACCACTAAAAACATCAAATAGATGACATTGTCAGAATCCATTCTACCAATAAAAACTATGGATTTTATATACATGTAGTTCTGTATTGGAATGGGCGCTGCTGTGGGAAGATTTAACCGTTTCTGTTGCGAACGTCCTTTGTCTGCGTGAAATACCAACAGCATTGGTGGAAAATAGAAACACAATCTACTCAGTTGAGGTCTTGTCAAGTGGTCTGGTCAAGTGATTTGGTCAAGAGGTCTGGCCAAGTGGACTGGTCAAGTGGTCTGGCCAAGTGGTCTGGCCAAGAGGTCTGGCCAAGTGATCTGGCCAAGTGTTGTTACGAAGTGTTGTGACCAAGTGATCTCGCCAAGTGGTCTGGCCAAGTGGTGTGACCAAGTGGTCTGGCCAAGCGGTCTGGCCAAGAGGTCTGGTCAAGTGATCTGGCCAAGTGGTCTGGTCCAGTGGTCTGGTCAAGTGGTCTACTCAAGTGGTCTGGCCAAAAGGTCCGGCCAAGAGGTATAGTCAAGTGGTCTGGTTAAGTGGTCTGGCCAAGACGTCTGGTCAAGTGATCTGGCCAAGAGGTCTGGCCAAGAGGTCTGGTCAAGAGTTCTTGCTAAGTAATCTGGCCAAGAGGTCTGGCAAGGAGCTCTGGCCAAGATGTATGGTCAAATGATCTGGCTAAGTGGTCTGGCCAAGAGGTCTGGTAAAGTGGTCTGGCCAAAAGGTCCGGCCAAGTGATCTAGTCAAGTGGTCTGGTTAAGTTGTCTGGTCAAGAGGTCTGGCTAAGTAATCTGGCCAAGTGGTCTAGTCAAGTGGTGTGGTTAAGTGGTCTGGCGAAGTGGTCTAGTCAAGTGGTCTTGTCAAGTGGTCTGGCCAAGTGGTCTGGTCAAGTGGTCTGGCCAAGTGGTCTGGCCAAGAGCTCTGGCCAAGAGGTCTGCTGTGGGGAGATGTAACCGTTTCTCTTGCGAACGTCCTTTGTCTGCGTGAAATACCAACAGCATTGGTGGAAAATAGAAACACAATCTACTCAGTTGAGGTCTTGTCAAGTGGTCTGGTCAAGTGATCTGGTCAAGAGGTCTGGCCAAGAGGACTGGCCAAGTGATCTGGCCAAGTGTTGTGACCAACACCAAGTGGTCTAGTCAAGTGGTCTTGTCAAATGGTCTGGCCAAGTGGTCTGGTCAAGTGGTCTGGCCAGGTGGTCTGGCCAAGTGGTCTGGTCAAATGTTCTGGTCAAAAGGTCCGGCGTTTGTGATACTGTGTTTCTGTGACAGCTCCCTACCTCAGTGAGGCGCTGAACAACGCCGCCATGAACAGGCCTGGCATGCCTGGCAGCTCCCGGAAGATGTCCATCACCATAAAGGGAATGAGCTGCAGATACACACAGCATATATAGTATGACCAGATATTATTGAGAATTTTAGGAATATGTTTAATTGGATTTCTAGTATAAACAACCTGGACCAGCTATCAAGTGCTTGGTTTCATTCAAGAGAGACAACCCCGTTAATCCTTTTTCATTAGTTTGTGAAGAGTTATCCCCCTTTGTTTACTTGCTAGCAGACGCTATTTTCATTGATCCTCAGTATGGATGATTTAGAGAAGAGGAAGTTGATTTTAGAGTTTTATAACAAGGACATCAGATCAGCTAAAGTGATTTCAAGTAGAACAGGCACCCCTTTGTCCACTGTTTATCGTGTTTTGAAAAATATTGCAAATGGATATGGCATTGAGCACCAGGGAGGCGCAGGGAGGCCCAGAAAACTGACTGTCGGTGACAGGAGGCGGCTTGGTATTTTTGTTTCTTAAAACAAACGAAGGAGTTTAGAAAACTTAAGGCTGGATATGATTGATAGAGGAACTGTGGCTGTCTGTAAGGAGACAATTAGAACTGAGCTGCATGCAATGGGTTGGCAGAATAGTCGAGGAATTCCATCACCGATCATGAAACCTGAACAAAAGGAGCGAAGGTTGAACTGGTGCTTACAGCATAGAAATTGTAACTGGGACAACGTGATTTTCTCAGATGAAAGTTCTGTGTGGCTGTTTCCTAATAAACTGAAATTCTGGTCCAAACAAACTGAAAAACTTTGGCATCAGCCCAAAGTACAGTCCGAAATTTAACGTGTGGGGTGGCATATCTGTGTTAGGGGCAACGCCCCCTATGATCTGAAGGGAATATGAACAGTGAGCGGTACACAGATATTCTCGAGGGACATTTACTTCCATCTGCTCACGTGTTCTATGGAAATGTTTGGATTTTCCAGCAGAACAACGACCCAAAACATCGTTCAAAGCATTCACAGGCCTGATTTCGGACCCAAAATATGACAGTATTAGATTGGCCAAGCTATAGCCCTGACCTAAATCCAATAGAAAATGTTTGGGGACTCATGAAGGAAAGTGTCAATAAGAAGAATTGCTGAAATGAAAGAAGAGGTGGTCCGATATTGGGACAGCATGGATCACGACTTTCTAACTTCTTTGATCAGTAGTATGCCCCACCGCATTGAAGCCTGCATTGCTGCCCATGGTGACTTGACAAAATACTAACTGTTCACCTGTCTTTGAATCTGGAGTTATGTTCTGGTAATGTTCACATCAAATCCGTGAGTAATGTGTGAAAAACATTTTATAATCTTTATCTTCTCAATAATTTCTGGTTGTACTGTAGATACCCCCTATTATATATATACACAGGACACCTCACTATACAGATATAGATACTCAACACCCCCAGTATATATATACACATGACACCTCACTATATAGATACTAAGCACCCCCAGTATATATATATACATGATACCTCACTATATAGATACTCAACATCCCCAGTATATATATACACACAGAACACCTCACTATATAGATATAGATACTCAACACCCCCAATATATATATATACACATGACACCTCACTATATAGATACTAAACACCCCCAGTATATATATACACATGATACCTCACTATATAGATACTCAACACCCCCAGGCTATATATACACATGACACCTCACTATATAGATACTCAACACTCCCAGTATATATATACACATGACACCTCACTATATAGATACTCAACACCCCAAGTATATATATATACACATGATACCTCACTATATAGATAATCAAAACCCTAGTATATATATACACATGACACCTCACTATATAGATACTCAAAACCCCCAGTATATATATACACATGATACCTCACTATATAGATACTCAACACCCCCAGTATATATATACACATGACACCTCACTATATAGATACTCAACATCCCCAGTATATATATACACATGATACCTCGCTATATAGATCCTAAACACCCCCAGTATATATATATACACATGATAACTCACTATATAGATACTCAACACCCCCAGTATATATATACACATGATACCTCACTATATAGATACTCAACACCCTCAGTATATATGTACACAGGACACCTCAGTATATATACACACAGGACGCCTCACTATATATATACACACATGACACTTCACTATATAGATACACGTGATACTTCACTCTGCAGATACTCAACACCCCCAGTATATACATACACAGGACACCTCACTATAAATATACACATGATACCTCACTATATAGATACTCAACACCCCCAGTATATATATATACACTTGTTACCTCACTATATAGATACTCATCACCCCCAGTATATATATACACAGGACACCTCACTATATAGATACTCAACACCCCCAGTATATATATACACAGGACACCTCACTTTATAGATACTCAACACCCCCAGTATATATATACACAGGACACCTCACTTTATAGATACTCAACACCCCCAGTATATATATACACATGACACCTCACTAAAAAGATACTCAACACCCCCCAGTATATATATACACATGACACCTCACTAAATATACACACAGGACGCCTCACTATATATATACACACAGGACACCTCACTTTATAGATACACATGATACTTCACTCTACAGATACTCAACACCCCCAGTATATACATACACAGGACACCTCACTATAAATATACACATGATACCTCACTATATAGATACTCAACACCCCCAGTATATATATATACACTTGATACCTCACTATATAGATACTCATCACCCCCAGTATATATATACACAGGACACCTCACTATATAGATACTCAACACCCCCAGTATATATATACACAGGACACCTCACTATATAGATACTCAACACCCCCAGTATATATATACACATGACACCTCACTATATAGATACTCAACACCCCCAGTATATATATATACACTTGATACCTCACTATATAGATACTCATCACCCCCAGTATATATATACACAGGACACCTCACTATATAGATACTCAACACCCCCAGTATATATATACACAGGACACCTCACTATATAGATACTCAACAGCCCCAGTATATATATACACAGGACACCTCACTATATAGATACTCAAGACCCCCAGTATATTTATACACATGACACCTCACTATATAGATACTAAACACCCCCAGTATATATACACACACGATACCTCACTATATAGATACTCAACACCCCCAGTATATATATACACAGGACACCTCACTATGTAGATACTCAACACCCCCAGTATATATATATACACACAGGACACCTTACTATATAGATACTCAACACCCCCAGTATATATATATATATATATTTATATATATATATATACATGATACCTCACTATATAGATACTCAACATCCCCAGTATATATATAAACAGGACACCCTCACTTTATAGCTACTCAACACCCCAGTATATATATACACAGGACACCTCACTATATAGATACTAAACACCCCCTATAGATACTAAACATAGTATATATACACACACGATACCTCACTATATAGATACTCAACACCCCAGTATATATATACACAGGACACCTCACTATATAGATACTCTCAACACCCCAGTATATATATATACACACACAGGACACCTCACTATATAGATACTCAACACCCCCAGTATATATATATATATATATATATATATATACATGATACCTCACTATATAGATACTCAACATCCCGAGTATATATATAAACAGGACACCTCACTATATAGATACTCAACACCCCCAGTATATATATATATATATATATTTATATATATATATATACATGATACCTCACTATATAGATACTCAACATCCCCAGTATATATATAAACAGGACACCTCACTTTATAGCTACTCAACACCCCCAGTATATATATACACAGGACACCTCACTATATAGATACTAAACACCCCCAGTATATATACACACACGATACCTCACTATATAGATACTCAACACCCCCAGTATATATATACACAGGACACCTCACTATATAGATACTCAACACCCCCAGTATATATATATACACACACAGGACACCTCACTATATAGATACTCAACACCCCCAGTATATATATATATATATATACATGATACCTCACTATATAGATACTCAACATCCCGAGTATATATATAAACAGGACACCTCACTATATAGATACTCAACACCCCCAGTATATATATACACAGGACACCTCACTATATAGATACTCAACACCCCCAGTATATATATACACATGACACCTCACTATATAGATACTCAACACCCCCATTATATATATACACATGACACCTCACTATATAGATACTCAACACCCCCAGTATATATATACACAAGACACCTCACTATATAGATACTCAACACCCCCAGTATATATATACACAGGACACCTCACTATAAAGATACTCAACGCCCCCAGTATATATGAACACAGGACACCTCACTATATAGATGCACACGGCACCTCACTATATAGAAACTCAACATCTCCAGTATATATGTACACAGATCAATCCATTATTTAGATACACAGGACAACCCACTCTTTATGTACACAGGGCAATCCGCTACATATGTACTCAGGACAATCCATTACATATGTACACAGGACAATCCACTATATACATACACAGGATCCCACACAATATAGATACACAGGACAATCCACTATATATGTACACAGAACCCCCCGCTATATAGATACACAGGACAATCCACCATATATATACACAGAACAATTCACTATACATGTACACAGGATCCCTCACTATATAGATACACAGGACAACCCACTTTATAGATAAACAGGACAATCCACTGTTTTTGTACACAGGAATTTACACTATTTATGTACACAGAACAATCCACTATATATGTACACAGGACAATCCACACAATATAGATACATAGGATAATTCACTATATATGTACACAGGATCCCTTACTATATAGAGACAGGACAATCCACTATATATGTACACAGGACAACCCACTGTATATGTACACAGGACAATCCACTATTAATGTACACAGGAAAATACACTATTTATGTACACAGGACAATCCACTATATATGTACACAGGACAATCCATTATTTATGTACACAGGATCCCACACAATATAGATACACAGGATAATTCACTATATATGTACACAGGATCCCTTACTATATAGAGACAGGACAATCCACTATATATGTCCACAGGACAACCCACTGTATATGTACACAGGACAATCCACTATTTATGTACACAGGAAAATACACTATTTATGTACACAGGAAAATGCACTATATATGTACACAGGAAAATACACTATTTATGTACACAGGACAATCCACTATTTATGTAGACAGGAAAATGCACTATATATGTACACATGAAAATCCACTATATATGTACACAGGACAATCCACTATTTATGTAGACAGGAAAATGCACTATTTATGTACACAGGAGAACCCACTATATATGTACACAGGACAATACACTATTTATGTAGACTGGAAAATGCACTATATATGTACACAGGACAATCCACTATTTATGTACACAGGACAATCCATTATATATGTGCACAGAACAATCCACTATATATGTACACAGAAAAATGCACTATTTATGTACACAGGAAAATACACTATTTATGTACACGGGTCAACCAACTATATATGTACACAGGAAAATCCACTATTTATGTAAACAGGACAATGCACTATTTATGTAGACAGGAAAATACACTATTTATGTACACAGGAGAACCCACTATATATGTACACAGGACAATCCACTATTTATGTAGACAGGAAAATGCACTATATATGTACACAGGACAATCCACTATTTATGTAGACAGGACAATCCACTATTTATGTACACAGGACAATCCAATATATATGTGCACATAACAATCCACTATTTATGTACACAGGACAATCCACTATTTATGTACACAGGATCCCCCACTATATAGATACAGAGGACAATCCACTGTTTATGTACACAGGATCCCCCACTATATAGATACAGAGGACAATCCACTGTTTATGTACACAGGAGCCCCCACTATATAGATACAGAGGACAATCCACTGTTTATGTACACAGGAGCCCCCACTATATAGATGCTAAAATCCCAGTAAAACATACACAGGATCCCCCACAGAGACAACCACTAGTATATAGAGGCTGTTGTTGATTAAGGAACTGGAACTTCCTTGTGTGAAGATTGTAGAGTATACAACTATTGGATGAGTTGCTGTCAAACCCATCAACATACTTACCTGGTTAGGGTTGGAGATTTGTTTGGACTTGAGTGGATCACAGCCTCTATTGTAGTAGTAGGCGAACGCCACCAGTCCTTCCAAGGTGGCCAGGGTCAGAGTGATGAAGAAGGCGGGACCAGTGATGAACAAAACTCTACAAGCAGCATTCTGTTAGGACAATGCAGCATCCTTTCTCATTGTGTGTGTTCACTGAGCTTCAAGTCATTTCGATACTCTTTACCACCCTGTTATATTGTACCACCCTGTTATATTGTACCACCCTGTTATATTGTACCACCCTGTTATATTGTACCACCCTGTTATTTTGTACCTCACAGTGTAGGTAAGCACGTTAGTTCTCTATTTTGATCTTGATTTCAATCCGTTTATTGTGTTTCGCCGTCCCAATATTGAATGTCAATGTGTTTGCTCTAACTTGCTTTTATCACTCTACCTCTATCTCATTTTTCGGCATTGGTCGTATTACCTGCTGGACGTGTATGTCTGCACAGAGTATATATTACTGGTCTTGGAGTAACATAGACTCATGTAAACTAGCATACAAGCAAGCACACTATAGACAACATGCAGTCTGTTAACTTACAACATGTGTCTACATGCACACTCTCATGTATGTACTGACTGTAAGTTAACCCTAGCTCTTACTTCTTGGCCTGCAGCTCGGTTGGCGTGGAAGAGATCCGCTGGATGGCAGCCTGGCCGATGGTCAGTCCGATCATCCTGATGCTAGACCCCAGAAACAGACTCCAGAAAGTGTGGCGGACTGTGGGGTCGGTATTGAAGCTGGTGATAAAACATTCATTACATTAAACCCCTCAAGGAAAACTGATGGCGATCAGTGATGCCAAATATATGTTTGAATGGTTAATAGTCAGTACTTGCACATGGCAATTTCTTGACGTGCTGCAACTGCAGCTACACATACCATGTATTGTATTATCTGAAAACTGCCAATGGGCGAGTTGGACGGGGTTATTTTCCAAAGAAGTAATCCCAGATAGTTAATGTGCTGTTTAAGGTTCAAGTGCAATATGAAGACATGTGGCATGCTGAATGAGCTTCAACATATTGAACCATTGTGTTAAACATGTGTCTCACCTCTCGTTTATCGTGTTTAGAGATGAAATGACGATCAGCTATATATAAAAATCATAAGGTGATTACAAAACGTGTGTCTGCCACTCACTCGAAAAAGTTAAGCCGGCCATTTTCGTAGTTGATGTTCCACATTTGTGTTGGTCCTCCAACTTCCATTGTCCCCTACAAGAAAAACAACACGCGCAAATAAGCCGCCCTGTTGTATTTGACAGTTTGGGACAACATCAGACAGTATGACATTCCTACAGTGGATGAGACCTACTGTTGTATCTGACAGTTTGGGACAACCTCAGACAGTATGACATTCCTACAGTGGATGACACCTACTGTTGTATCTGACAGTTTGGGACAACCTCAGACAGTATGACATTCCTACAGTGGATGACACCTACTGTTGTATCTGACAGTTTGGGACATCAGACAGTATGACATTCCTACAGTGGATGACACCTACCGTTGTATGTGACAGTTTGGGACAACCTCGGGCAGTATTACATTCCTACAGTGGATGACACTTGTATGTGATAGTCTGGGACAACCTCAGACAGTATGACATTCCTACAGTGGATGACACCTACTGTTGTATGTGATAGTTTGGGACAACCTCGGGCAGTATGACATTCCTACAGTGGATGACACCTACTGTTGTATCTGACAGTTTGGGACAACCTCGGACAGTAAGGCATTCCTACAGTGGATGACACTTGTATGTGATAGTCTGGGACAACCTCGGGCAGTATGACATTCCTACAGTGGATGACACCTACTGTTGTATCTGACAGTTTGGGACAACCTCGGGCAGTATGACATTCCTACAGTGGATGAGACCACTGTTGTGGAGTTTGGGACAACCTCAGACAGTATGACATTCCTACAGTGGATGACACCTACTGTTGTATCTGACAGTTTGGGACAACCTCAGACAGTATGACATTCCTACAGTGGATGACACCTACTGTTGTATCTGACAGTTTGGGACATCAGGGACAACCTACCGTTGTATGTGACGGGCAGTATTACATTCCTACAGTGGATGACACTTGTATGTGATAGTCTGGGACAACCTCAGACAGTATGACATTCCTACAGTGGATGACACCTACTGTTGTATGTGATAGTTTGGGACAACCTCGGGCAGTATGACATTCCTACAGTGGATGACACCTACTGTTGTATCTGACAGTTTGGGACAACCTCGGACAGTATGGCATTCCTACAGTGGATGACACTTGTATGTGATAGTCTGGGACAACCTCGGGCAGTATGACATTCCTACAGTGGATGACACCTACTGTTGTATCTGACAGTTTGGGACAACCTCGGGCAGTATGACATTCCTACAGTGGATGACACCTACTGTTGTATCTGACAGTTTGGGACAACCTCAGACAGTCTGACATTCCTACAGTGGATGACACCTACTGTTGTATTTGACAGTTTGGGACAACCCCGGGCAGTATGACATTCCTACAGTGGATGACACCTACTGTTGTATGTGATAGTTTGGGACAACCTCAGACAGTATGACATTCCTACAGTGGATGGCACCTACTGTTGTATCTGACAGTTTGGGACAACATCAGACAGTATGGCATTCCTACAGTGGATGACACTTGTATGTGATAGTCTGGGACAACCTCGGGCAGTATGACATTCCTACAGTGGATGACACCTACTGTTGTATCTGACAGTTTGGGACAACCCCGGGCAGTATGACATTCCTACAGTGGATGACACCTACTGTTGTATTTGACAGTTTGGGACAACCCCGGGCAGTATGACATTCCTACAGTGGATGACACCTACTGTTGTATCTGACAGTTTGGGACAACATCAGACAGTATGGCATTCCTACAGTGGATGACACTTGTATGTGATAGTCTGGGACAACCTCGGGCAGTATGACATTCCTACAGTGGATGACACCTACTGTTGTATCTGACAGTTTGGGACAACCTCTGGCAGTATGACATTCCTACAGTGGATGACACCTACTGTTGTATCTGACAGTTTGGGACAATCTCGGGCAGTATGACATTCCTACAGTGGATGACACCTACTGTTGTATCTGACAGTTTGGGACAACCCCGGGCAGTATGACATTCCTACAGTGGATGACACCTACTGTTGTATCTGACAGTTTGGGACAACCTCGGGCAGTATGACATTCCTACAGTGGATGACACCTACTGTTGTATTTGACAGTTTGGGACAACCCCGGGCAGTATGACATTCCTACAGTGGATGACACCTACTGTTGTATGTGATAGTTTGGGACAACCTCGGGCAGTATGACATTCCTACAGTGGATGACACCTACTGTTGTATCTGACAGTTTGGGACAACCTCGGGCAGTATGACATTCCTACAGTGGATGAAACTTGTATGTGATAGTCTGGGGCAACCTCGGACAGTATGACAATCCTACAGTGGATGACACGTACCGTTGTATGTGATAGTTTGGGACAACCTCAGACAGTATGACATACCTTGATAAGAATTGCGAAGATCCCGGTGAGCATGACAACCGTCTGGAAAACGTCTGTCCAGATGACAGCCTTGAATCCACCCTAAAAACCCAGTGAAATCATACAACACAACACTTTAAGCATGTTGCAGCTGCATGATAACAGACCCTCTGAAGGTAGTTTATAGTCTTCGCACTCAGGAACGTCCAGAACATCGGATGACTGAGGGCCTGCTTACTTCATAAAGCCGGAACAGTGTTTGAAGACAGCAAGAAGCCTGAGTCAAATATTTATATATCTCATCTCATGGATGAATGACATCAAATCGATCAGGATTCTTTCTTGAATAGGAAGAGCCTGCTTTGTAGAAATTTTCCCATCACAGAACTGTTGGAATGATATAGTTGTCCTCAAAAGCACACTGTTACAATTTGGCCATATCGTCAGTCAATATTTTACGAACGCCTCAGTCATTTGCTGCAACTGGTAATCACAACACAACACCTCACTACTCATAAACTTCAAATCTAAAAATATCTAAATATCTAACAAGGATATAAAATACACATACACCAGTGTATACTTACGATTGTTGTATAACACACGGAGGCGCACGCTACCACCGCCATGGAACCAGCTAGAGGGAACCCAGTCACTGAAATAAAACTTCCCAACTTTTAATAACCGCTGACATGTAAACACTGCAATTCTTTGGAGTCATACTCTCATCCAGTATTAACAGTGTAATTATGAATTAACTATTTACGGCTTACAGTTCCTCAGTAAATATTTTGTTAATCCTGTATTGAGAAGCGCATAAAAGTCATGTATCAATCGTGCACTCTTTCAAAATATCTCGTTGCACTCTCCTACCCAGAGTTCCATGCGGCAAGCCAGCATAGTACCTCTGCCACAGGCCAGAAAAATGTGACGATTCGTCACATCTTGCAATGTCCATTCAATATAATGTACAGATTTCTTTTACTCTTTTATTTTTGGCGAGTCTACACATCTAACTAAACATCTTTAATATAATGGTTTAGTTTCACTGAGAAAATATCCAAAAACATGTAACACTATTTCGATTTGCGTAGCGATCCTTTGTTTACATAGGTTGTACGGCTCCACGTGCTGTCATCAACGCTCATGGAGAGCAAACGATGCATCCAGTTTGATGTCTAAATATGTACTGTCATAGACCTTACTGTCGCAGTTGTGGAAGAATATATATGTAACAATGTGAAATATTATGAAGAGAGCGACGAAAAGTTTTCGTGAGTCCAGTCTCTTCTTATTATGAATATGCGCGTTTGATTACAAACAAGAGAAAAGTCCGGTCACGTGATATGCAAATTAGCCTGTGGCAGTGATGTTATGTTAAATCATCGCTGTGCCGGAGTGTGATCTCATGGTGATACTGCTACGTGCTGATTGCCGGGTTGAAACAAAAACGTTGACCGGGAATTGAACTTGAGACGTAATGTGAGATGAGAGGCAATAGCCAGCTCCCCTTACATACACAGGTATAAGCTGCTCCAACAACCCATCGGCATGTAGCACCCTGTAGAAGTTTCCAGATCTTTCTGTCTAAATCTAGTATAAGCATAAATATAGTCAGTATTCTCAGTATCACATGCATTACACCCTGAGAGCTGTTACTCAATAAATAGGGGCGGTGGGGTAGCCTAATGGTTAAAGCGTTGGCTCGTCACGCCGAAGACCCGGGTTCGAATCCCCACATTGGCACAATGTGTGAAGCCCATTTCTGGAGTCCCCCGCCGTGATGTTGCTGGAAAATTGCTAAAAACGGCATAAAACCAAACTCAGTCAGTCAGTACTCAATAAAAAGCACTGCCACATTACAATATCAAAGGTGTCCATCAGACATCCACTTGTGATATCCAGTGTCAGTCATACATTAACGACATCCACTTGTGATACCTAGTGTCAGTCATACATTAATGACATGCACTTGTGATATCCAGTGTCAGTCATACATTAATGACATCCACTTGTGATATCCAGTGTCAGTCATACATTAATGACATCCACTTGTGATATCCAGTGTCAGTCATACATTAATGACATCCACTTGTGATATCTAGTGTCAGTCATACATTAATGACATCCACTTGTGATATCCAGTGTCAGTCATACATTAATGACATCCACTTGTGATATCTAGTGTCAGTCATACATTAAAGACATCCACTTGTGATATCCAGTGTCAGTCATACATTAAAGACATCCACTTGTGATATCTAGTGTCAGTCATACATTCGTGATATTCGTCTATTATGCCCTATTTCCTCAACCATACATTAACAACACCGACTTGTGATACACAGTTAGCCGATCCTCCGGTCATAATATCAAATGTGAAACAAAATATGTCTATAGATAACCTACCTGCCTCCAGCGCTATTGCCGGTCCAAACAGTACAATGCCCATATAAAACAACTGAAAATGAAACCACATATAAACATCAATCAGGTACGATGTTTTGAGTCACGAATTTGTAGAATGTTGGTATTTGATTAAAATCAAAGACAACTGATTAAGAAATAGTTCGGATTTGTACAAACCTTGGTATGGATTATTTTTATTCGGGTGAATTCCCAGCCAAAGACTAACAAATGCTGAGCTCTTAAGTGCAGAGTGAAATTTAGCTCCCAAGAAAGATAGCCGCCCCCTGACCCCATACTCTCCTCAAATATGCCACTGAGTTCGGCCTTCCCAACCCCATAGCCTAAAGTCGCCATATAGCTGGAATATTGCTGAGTGCGGCGTAAAACTCAACTCAACTCATAGCCTAAAGTAGACAAACGTAATCAATTGAAATATTCAACTTAGCTAGGCCATCCCAACCCAATACCATGTAGTAAAACGTACACACCGTACTGAGATACGCCAGCGTGGTTCCGAGTTGCCGTATTATCTTAGACCGGAACCTTAGCTCCAGGTACTCGTAGGCGCTGGTTAGCCTGAGTGGATGCACCATGGGCACGATCAGACGGGTACCGATCAGATTGGCGAACATGAATCCAAACGTGCTGAGCCAGAACATGATTCCATAGATGTACACTTCAGCAGGGAAGCCCAGCATCATGATGGATGACTCGAATGATACCATGAGAGACAGAGCAACAGGTATGATCTTCATCTTACGGCCACCCACCAGGTATTCAGACGCACTGGCCTTGCGCCGTCCCTTCACGGCGTAGTATACACCTATACCCACTGATATGGCGATAGTCAAACTAAACACCACGTAGTCTGCTACATGGAACTGATGGCTTGGGTTCACCATTGTGATCACACACTGTTGAGGTTGTTTTACTGGAATATAGGCAAGTGTAGTCTTGGAAACCGTCCATATGTAATAATACATGCAGGTGACATGCCTCGACAAAACCACACAGATGTAGTGACAGACCACTGACAAAGTCGAATCAAGGACAACAAGTATCGTGGTTTCATCATTGAGCTTAATTTAACAATTTATATAATTATACAATTACAAAAGCATGATAAACCTGACATCACCTGTGCAGTATGAGGTATTGATATTTATTTCTTGCTTGTTATATACAGACCCTATCCATTCTAAAACAGAATAAGAAAGTATGATTACTGTAAAGAGGTACTTTATCTCTGCTGTTAAAGATTACGAAAGTATATAAAAAGTGAAATCAGATACTTAACGGTAATAAGCCTTTTCTATTCATTGCAGGGAATTATCTCCCCGCTAAACACCGACTGTTGAGAGCAGCTAGTGGGAATCTTCTACACCAATGCGTACAACCATGCAAAGTCTCGGACCGTCAGCAGCAGATGTATATAATGTATATTTGAAGTAATATGTTTCCAAACTTCGTATTCGGGTACGCATTCCCTTCGGAACATAAAGTACCGTCTTACTACCTGTAATACCCTTAATTAAAGCTGAACACGGCACCTGCATATTCAATACATGCTGTATATTACAACTGTTTCACATGGAAATGTCCCTTAATTACTCACGCCGTGTGGGCAGGTCCAGCAACTCCACTGAAAAGGTCCAGCAGAGCAAAGCAAGTAAAAATTGTCCAGGCTTTCATCGTCTGAGCACATTAGGCCATGTGCTACGCACGACAATCTAATGGCCAGCCGTGTGTTTGCATGTCATACAAACGCAATATATGATAGTTCAAAAACTGTCTTCCAAGTTGATACAACCCTCACTACCTGATGATTTCTCAGTCACAACACACCCACACCCACACAAAACACGTGGTGATGTTGTCAGCCACACCCACACCCACACAAAAACACCTGGTGAGGTTCTCAGTCACACCCACACCCACACAAAACACCTGGTGATGTTGTCACTCACACCCACACCCACACAAAACACCTGGTGATGTTCTCAGCCACACCCACACCCACACAAAACACCTGGTGATGTTGTCAGTCACACCCACACCCACACAAAACACCTGGTGATGTTGTCAGTCACACCCACACAAAACACCTGGTGATGTTGTCAGCCACACCCACACCCACACAAAACACCTGGTGATGTTGTCAGCCACACCCACACCCACACAAAACACCTGGTGATGTTGTCAGTCACACCCACGCCCACACAAAACACTTGGTGAGGTTGTCAGCCACACCCACACACCCACACAAAACACCTGGTGATGTTGTCAGGAACACCCACACCCACACAAAACACCTGGTGATGTTGTCAGTCACACCCACACCCACACAAAACACCTGGTGATGTTGTCAGTCAAACCCACACCCACACAAAACACCTGGTGATGTTGTCAGCCACACCCACACCCACATAAAACACCTGGTGATGTTGTCAGCCACACCCAGACCCACACAAAACACCTGGTGATGTTGTCAGTCACACCCACACCCACACAAAACACCTAGTGATGTTGTCAGTCACACCCACACCCACACAAAACACCTGGTGATGTTGTCAGTCAAACCCACACCCACACAAAACACCTGGTGATGTTGTCAGTCAAACCCACACCCACACAAAACACATGGTGATGTTGTCAGCCACACCCACACCCACACAAAACACCTGGTGATGTTGTCAGCCACACCCTCACCCACACAAAACACCTGGTGATGTTGTCAGCCACACCCACACCCACACAAAACACCTGGTGATGTTGTCAGTCACACCCACACCCACACAAAACACCTGGTGATGTTCTCAGCCACACCCACACCCACACAAAACACCTGGTAATGTTGTCAGCCACACCCACACCCACACAAAACACCTGGTGATGTTGTCAGTCACACCCACACCCACACAAAACACATGGTGATGCTCTCAGTCAAACCCACACCCACACAAAACACCTGGTGATGTTGTCAGCCACAGCCACACCCACACAAAACACAAAACACATGGTGATGTTGTCAGTCACACCCACACCCACACAAAACACATGGTGATGTTGTCACTCACACCCACACCCACACTAAACACCTGGTGATGTTGTCAGCCACACCCACACCCACACAAAACACCTGGTGATATTGTCAGTCACACCCACACCCACACAATACACCTGGTGATGTTGTCAGCCACACCCACACCCACACAAAACACCTGGTGATGTTGTCAGTCACACCCACACAAAACACCTGGTGATGTTGTCAGTCACACCCACACCCACACAAAACACCTGGTGATGTTGTCAGTCACACCCACGCCCACACAAAACACCTGGTAATGTTGTCAGCCACACCCTCACCCACACAAAACACCTGGTGATGTTGTCAGCCACACCCACACCCACACAAAACACATGGTGATGCTCTCAGTCAAACCCACACCCACACAAAACACCTGGTGATGTTGTCAGCCACACCCACACCCACACAAAACACCTGGTGATGTTGTCAGTCACATCCACACCCACACAAAACACCTGGTGATCTTCTCAGTCACACCCACACCCACACAAAACACTTGGTGATGTTGTCAGTCACACCCACACCCACACAATACAACTGGTGATGTTGTCAGCCACACCCACACCCACACAAAACACCTGGTGATGTTGTCAGTCACACCCACACAAAACACCTGGTGATGTTGTCAGTCACACCCACACCCACACAAAACACCTGGTGATGTTGTCAGCCACACCCACACCCACACAAAACACATGGTGATGCTCTCAGTCAAACCCACACCCACACAAAACACCACACCCACACAAAACACCTGGTGATGTTGTCAGTCACACCCACACCCACACAAAACACCTGGTGATGTTGTCAGTCACATCCACACCCACACAAAACACGTGGTGATCTTCTCAGTCACACCCACACCCACACAAAACACTTGGTGATGTTGTCAGTCACACCCACACCCACACAATACAACTGGTGATGTTGTCAGCCACACCCACACCCACACAAAACAAATGGTGATGTTTTCAGTCACACCCACACAAAACACCTGGTGATGTTGTCAGTCACACCCACACCCACACAAAACACCTGGTGATGTTGTCAGCCACACCAACGCCCACTCAAAACACCTGGTGATGTTGTAAGCCACACCCACACCCACACAAAACACATTGTGATGTTGTCAGTCAAACCCACAACCACACAAAACACCTGGTGATGTTGTCAGCCACCCCCACACCCACACAAAACACCTAGTGATGTTCTCAGCCTCACCTACACCCACACAAAACACCTGGTGATGTTGTCAGTCACACCCACACCCACACAAAACACCTGGTGATGCTGTCAGTCACACCCACACCCACACAATACACCTGGTGATGTTGTCAGTCACACCCACACCCACACAAAACACCTGGTGATGTTGTCAGCCACACCCACACAAAACACCTGGTGATGTTGTCACTCACACCCACACCCACACAAAACACATGGTGATGTTGTCAGCCACACCCACGCCCACACGAAACACCTGGTGATGTTGTCAGTCACACCCACACAAAACACCTGGTGATGTTGTCAGTCACACCCACACCCACACAAAACACCTGGTGATGTTGTCAGTCACACCCACTCAAAACACCTGGTGAGGTTGTTAGCACAACCAACACCCACAAAAAACACCTGGTGATGTTCTCAGTCAAACCCACACCCACACAAAACACATGGTGATGTTGTCAGTCACACCCACACCCACACAAAACACCTGGTGATGTTGTCAGTCACACCCACACACCACACCCACACCCACAAACAAAACACCTGGTGATGTTGTCAGTCACCATGTTGTCAGTCACACCCACACAAAACACCTGGTGATGTTGTCAGCCACACCCACACCCACACAAAACACATGGTGATGTTGTCAGTCACACCCCAACCCACCTGGTGATGTTGTCACACCCACAAACAAAACCTGGTGATGTTGTCAGTCACACCCACACCCACACAAAACACCTGGTGATGTTGTCAGCCACACCCACACCCACACAAAACACCTGGTGATGTTGTCAGTCACACCCACCAAAACACCTGGTGATGTTGTGTCACACCCACACCCACACAAAACACATGGTGATGTTGTCAGTCACACCCACACCCACACAAAACACCTGGTGATGTTCTCAGTCACACCCACACCCACACCCACACAAAACACCTGGTGATGTTGTCAGTGCACACCCACACCCACACAAAACACCTGGTGATGTTGTCAGCCACACCCACACCCACACAAAACACATGGTGATGTTGTCAGTCACACCCACACCCACACAAAACACATGGTGATGTTGTCAGTCACACCCCAACCCACACAAAACACCTGGTGATGTTGTCAGTCACACCCACACCCACACAAAACACCTGGTGATGTTGTCAGCCACACCCCATCCACACAAAACACCTGGTGATGTTGTCAGTCACACCCACACCCACACAAAACACCTGGTGATGTTCTCAGTCACACCCACACCCACACAAAACACCTGGTGATGTTCTCAGTCACACCCACACCCACACAAAACACCTGGTGATATTCTCAGTCACACCCACACACCCACAAAACACCTGGTGATATTCTCAGTCACACCCACACCCATACAGCACACCACACCCATCCGAAACACCTGGTGATATTCTCAGTCACACCCACACCCACACCCATACACCACACCACACCCACACAAAACACCTGGTGATGTTGTCAGTCACAACCACACCCACACCCATACACCACACCACACCCATCCGAAACACTTGGTGATGTTTTCAGTCACACACCCCACAACACCCCACTCCATCCACACCCACACCCACACAAAACACCTGGCGATATTCTCAGCCTGATCCACCCAGCCACACCCAAAAAACTGGTATCCCAACACTCGTTTGTTAACGCATATGGAATTATGGAATATGTAATATCTTTCCGTGACGTATACATGATGTTACCACTGTATGTAACGCATGAATGTATGAAATTTAGCTTTATACTTCAGTCACGTAGACTTTTCTACACTCTATATTCACAGTCAGCTGATAATGATAATTTGATACATTAAGGACAAAGCTACATGCCGGAATGGTGAAAGAGTGGCCACAATGTATAGTCATGAACGTAACCTTCTCATAGTATCACGAACTATAATGACGCGACAGTTTAACCACAACTGACTGTTTCATGAATTAATGAACCTCTACATTATATTGTAACGTGTTGTGAAAGGCCACACACACACATGCAACTACGCACACACACAAAAAAGAAAGATTGGAAAGACGATTTCGTGTTCTCTCCACAAATCTGGTAGTAAACTTCACGTACTTGATAACATTTTCTGATCAACTCCCTGTTCAATATTTATACTTCCGTTATATACCAGAGATTGTAAAATTGGTGTGATGTAAATAGCGTAATCACTGAACCACGAGCTGGCGTTAACCCACACTACTCAACAACTGACCAACTATGCTCCCCATCAAAAGTTTGGATTCACTAGTGTAAATGCAGCGACTTACTTCAGTCAACTGTTCTGAACTAGATTTGGTAAAATAATACATACAGTTTAAAGGTACTGTTTATACATGATCTGATGTATTGTAAAACAAATTCGTGACGTTGAAATGTTTATTGTCA